GTTAGCCCTTCGTCGGAGCGTTAGCCCTCCGATGAAGGGCTAACGCTTGAAACGTCAGCTTTTGTAATCGTTACAGTGGCCAATTTACCATTTCACCTTTGTCGATAATTATATCCAAATCATTTCTTTAGAACCAACCTGAGGTACATGCAGTCCCTGAGATTTCAGTGAAATAATTAAATACTTTTGATAGAGTGAAGGGTTATTTTCACACCCTAACTGATGGATAATCCTTCTCACTCTCCAAGGTGACCAAAGAGCAATTTCCTCTTACAACATTGACAAATTTTCAAGAAAGGAAATGAGAAGAAAAATATATCCGCAAGGGGATGTTTAATCCCACAACAAATTCCTCTAACTCAAATTACAGGCAACATTTGGCACACATTGCAGAGAATTGATGTTTTGATCCGGAGTTTCAAAAGATATGTGAATAAAGATAGAGTGAATAATAAGACACCTTACCATACTCTCGTCATATAAGAGTTGCCGATACTTCTCCATCATCTTTTGACTTCGCTTCACAAGTTGAGTTGAAACAGCACCAAAGAGAGCATCAGCTGGGTACAAAAAGCAGGACAGGAATAAACACAACAAAGTAATTAACACATTGATAGGTGCATGTAAACCTAGCTAACAAACTAGAAGGCTCATCCGGCAGAGCATGTCCCATCTATAGTACCAGAAAGCAACTAAACGTATCACTATTCAACACTACATGGTATCCCAATATTTTCACAGGGTTACCTCCCAAAGCATTAAGTCATTGCTGCTACCTACTCCTATTTCTAAGAGGAAAAAGGCTTTGTAAAAGTAAATTGTGTCTGGCCTAAGAAAAAAAAAACACTATCCCACCCCCCTCCCCTCCCATGAGTCACATAGCTAAACCACTCTATCTCATGGTCCTCACATGGTCCTATAGTTTCAATCATTTTGTATTCCCAACTGAGTGGAAAGTAGACAGTGGCGTTAGCCATTCATCACGCAAAGTTACACATTGCACAACTCTCAAGCAGCAAATTGTTAAATATCACCTGGGAAAATCTCCCAGACTTGAACTGGACAGACACATTTTACAATTGACAAAAAACAGACAAAAATTACACAGCTTCTTCAAAGATGTTCATTGTTTTGAACAACATCACCACTCCTCCTCTTTTCTTTTGTACAACCCCACTTCTTGTTACTAGTCAGATATTGGCAAACATGCTCAATGTTAGAAATAAGAAACTTACATTAGAAATTTTTCAAGTAGCCAAGGGTTTGAGCTAACAGCAGACAACTGTATGCTGTCAGGACTAACCTTTCTGAACATCAGCAGGAGTAGGACTTGGGTCATAACACACATGGTAAGGTGTAAGTCTTTTCATGAGATCTTCATGAGTACTAAAAGGCGTTTTGACATCAGGTCGAAGAACAGCCTGTTGATCTTGTGTTAGGCCTTGTTTTAATCTAAAGTAATAAATTTGGGAAATCCAAATTACTGAGAATTTTATCAAGATTTATTCCAAGGATCATGAAAGACTTAAAGATCTGTAAAGAGTAATTGGCACTTCTGAAAAATAACTCCTCCATTCAACTATGCAACCTTTCTTTATGCCATGCAAATTTATCCACTGAATGGTGTCTAAACTGTGAACACAGCTAATATTGTAAACCAGCATGGTGCATAACCCCTGAGTCACACATTAATGTCATAAGAATAAAGGAAATAATAACCAACAACTTGTTAACCAAATTCTTTTTATCAGAACCTTAGGATATGTATAGATAACAGTATGGAGAATATGCATGATAATGTAAGGATGTTAAGTGTTAAAACCAATTTTGTGCTGACTATCACAAGGCCAGCACACACCATGTCATCATGTTACCAGTAAGATAGTCTGTAACTTCTGAAGACTTCCAGACCCCAAACTGAGAACAACTGGCAGTGAACAAGCAACCGAAGTTTACTTTTACTGGGATCACATTGCATCGCGGAAGTGCTATTTTCAATATGGAGGTGAAAGCACCCTGAGTTGGTGAGTGCTTCGTGGACAAGTGTACTGATAACAATTCCACTGACAGTCATATGCACAATGTAACTAGGTGTGCTATCCAATACCAGTAAGCACATGTCCTCTCTAAGAACTGGTTTCTTTTTTTTCAATGGAAAAGGAAACAATTTGACGAACCTTGTAGCAACTTTTGGTACATCTGTTGTCTCTGATGATGAATGTGGGCGTTTAACTCCTTTGTTTGTGTCCTGTTTTATTGGTACAGACACCTTGACACTCTGAGGATCAAATGGAATTTGGAAAGTTAAAAGTTAACAAGAAATAATCCATCTTAAAAACGATCAAACGTTCTTGAAATAAAATATAGACATGAAGTTACAAAATCAATAATATATGTTAAAAACAACTAATATACCAGGATTGAAAATGAAGTTTTGAATACTCCCAGGGACAACAAAAGTGAGCCTTGATAAGTCATCTGTTAACAATATAACACTTTTAACTGTATATCAGATGCCATCTAATGGTAGAAATCTATCGTTGTACTGGCTGTCATTCTGCTTGTTATTTGTAACATATTCACCAATTTAAAGTCCTACTAAATGTCACTGCTAGGATTAATTCAACTACTAATAGATGAAGCACTAATTTTACTGGAAACTGTAAGGTCAGGCCACAAAATAATAATGTAAATTATGAAAATTTTCACACCTTTTTATCTTCCTTTTCATTAAATAATAGGAAATTTGCTATAGTTTCCGACCTTTCTTGAGGAGATTAATAAAGGAAAAGTCTGACAAGGACGTGTTGAACGTATACTTCTACAATTTGCAGTTCAAACTTTCTGAATTTATAGTTTTTCAAACTGGTTTAACTCTTCTTTGCAGCTGACCAAGAAAATGAGTACAAAACAAAGGAAACAGATATTAACTGGTATTACCAAATTTCAAACAACTATAGGAAAACAATTGAACCTCAGAATGGATTATTTTGATCTCTTACCTGAGACACTGGTTGTCTGCCTGAAGTTTGAAGAATTCTAGGAATGTGCTGCATTTTCCCCTGTGTTTTAACATTAACCTGTTGTTGAACAACAGGTTGTGCCCTGCTGTTAGGGACAACCTGCTTCACTCCCGAACCTTGAAGCTGATGTTGCTGCAGCTGTATTTGCTTCAGCTGATCTACTGTTAAGTTTTTAGTTTGCACATTACTTCCTGTTTGAAGACCACCTGAACCAAGTTTCTGTTTCACCACTTGCTGCTGTAATTGAAGCTGTTTCAGTGCCTGCAGCTGTTGTGGTGTAATTTGAATAGTTTGTTGAGTTTTTCCTCCTTGTAATCCCAGCTTTTGTAACAGCTCAGGTTGTTTTATGATAAACACTTTCTGAACTCCAGCTTGTGCTTGTTGTTGCTGCACTTGAGAAACTGTATTTTGTTGAGTCGTTGTTACAACATGCACCACGGGTGCCATTCCAGTTTTTCCTTGCTGAACTACTGAATTAACCTGCCGAACACCACCTTGATTTGACACCTGTGCAACAGAGGTTTTGTTGAGCTGACTTGGTATAAAGGTTACACCTTGAAGAACTCTAGCACCTTGATCTTTTGACACTTGCTGCTGCTGCGTTAAATTAACTTGCTGATGTCCAAGAGAAACCACTTGCTGCTTTTGCTGGCTATTCAATACTTGCTGTAGCTGAATATTGGCCGGAGACATAGTAACATCAGTTCTTTGATTCAGATTAGAAGGCTTGGTGGGAGTATTGACATTAACTTGCAACGTTTGCGCTGCTTGCTGTCCCTGTGGTTGAATATTCTGTATTAAGATCTGTTTTTGAACCGATTGAGACTGCTGTGGTATTTGCTGAAATATCTGCTGTGGTTGCACAAGTTTCTGCATAGTTTTTTGCTGCGACACTTGTTGAAGAAGTTGTTTAATGACTTCTTCTTGAACAACAACGTTCTGCGGTTGAGCTGCTTGGACAGTTTGTGTTGTAAACTGTTGATTTTGTTTCAAAGTAGCTTGGAGTTGAGCAGGATTCAGCACATTCTGTTGCAATGCTTGTACAACTGGCAGTTGTTGCTGCTGGTTAGAAAGTTTTTGTTGAACTAACTGCTGAATTTGTTTAATCTGATTTGCAGGTAATGCCTGTGATTGCGTGAGCTGAGTGGACGTCTGTTGGGTTGTCTGGGTGCTTGGATTTTGGCCTCTTATCAAATTGAGCAACTGCTGTGCTTGGATAAGCTGTGTATGGTTTTGTTGTTGAACATTCCCAGGTGATACTTGATTGACAACAGTTTGCACTTGAGGAGTTATTTGATTAGACACCTGTTGCAGAAGTATTTTATGTTGTGTCCCCACAATTTGTGGGGGTGATGACATACCAGTTTGAGGTAGTATACTTGGCTGTTTAGGAGCAATTCGTTTGACAGGAGTTGTAGAAAGAATTGGCTGTATAACACCTTGAGGAGATTTATTAGAATGTACATTTACAGGAGCAACATTTGCTTTCATGTTTGTTTTTGAATCTGTTCCATTTAACACAACACGATGCCCAGGAGATGCCATACTTTGCTGTGCAACAGCAGACTGTTTTTGCATAACAATAGGTAATCCAGGGTTCATAATCTGTATCCCACGAGTACCTGTAGTCCCTACAGTTGAGCTTGTCACAGCAGAGGAAATATTAGGAGTTTTAGGTTGGATTGGGATGGGTTTTTTCCCTTGAAATGCTGAACCAGTTGTAGCCACAGGTTTAGGTGAAGAAGAAATTCCTAGTGCACTGCCAGTTTTGTTCCCTACACTACCGAGACTTTCCTTACCAGCTTTAAGAAAATTGGCACCACTAGACACCGGAACAGAAGACGGAACCACGCCAACAGTAAAAGGAGTACCGGGACTTGAACTATTTTTTGTCATGCTGCTATTATTGACTGCTGAATTTACTAATGTATTTTGTGGCACTGAAGACAAAGAACTAGGCAATGATGTTCCAGACACTTGTGAAGCAATTCTCGTATTAACAGGCAACATATTGTTTACCCCACTTTCTCTTGTTGAACTAGAGTTTAACGTTGAAGCTAATAAATTACTCACATTCAGTGGGGTTGACACTGAAATAGAGTCTCCTGAATTTTTCGAAGAAAGGCCATGATCCTGCCAATAAAGGAACACAAGGTTAAATTTAAAAAAAAACCTTAACTATAACCCTTAAACTCCCACAAGTAACCAACACAGAATTTCTCCTTACAACATTTGGTGGTTTCAAAACAGGACGGCGACCGCCGGAGTTCTGCCAGCTACTTGATTGTATGTAACTGGCTACTCTGGTCATAACAGTCTGCTTGTGACAAACAATCTCAGCATTATCACAGCCGCTTACTTTTCCAGAGTCGGCCGCCTACTTCAAAACATTTTGAAACCCCTGAACATTGCTACAATATCAAGCAGACAAGTTACGAGAATTAAGAAAATTTTAAAGTAGGGGTTTATTAGCTGATCCAATATCAAATTCTCCATACTAACATATAAAAAGTCTAGTAGAAAGTAAGGGGAATACCTTGTGAGATCTTAGTAGTAAAGGGATTATATCTAAGATCTATAAAAGAGCAACAAAAATAATTTTTTAACAGGATCCTTTCACATTTGGTAGAGTTTGAGGAGTTGCCACAGCTTGCACCCTGTAATTTATGAGTATTCGTCTTGTCCCCAACAAACTAACAAGAGGCAAAGCCAAGAATTTTGCTGCCACATACACTGTAGTTGTCAAGGGAAATAGCTGCAGATGATTGTTTTTGCTCCTATTCAGAGCAGTGTGGACAGTAAACTTGAAGGTAATTTTACAAGGTTTTCCTAAATTATCAAGGGTGATAATGGTACCTAGAAAAATCATGGCTCTCTTAATATAAGATTTGCATAAAACCCCTGCTACTTGAATACAAATCCCTTGGATTTAAACCCTAATTTTTCAGTCATTTGCTACTTTCTAAACAAACCTGGTAAACTTGAACTCTCCCATTAACTCAAACTAATTTTACTTAAATCTACCCTGACAACGCAAACATTACATAAAAACGGCAGGTGATAAAGGTCAAAGATGGCTGATTGACACATCCAAACCTTTAATCATGACTGACACATACGTAACAACATTCATGAAAATGTAATACACTTTGCTCCACTTCCCAAACTAAATGTTGTCATCAAAAAGCTATCATAAAAACAAATTAAATATACAAAAATGACTGTTGATTTTGCAGGAATGAAAAACACACCACTCCTTTGTGACTGAAAATTGAAATTCAGTAATGGTTCTGGTGCATCTCAAAATTTCATCAACCTCCAGAAGAGCTTCAAAATTACATTTTTTAAGAAGGGCATTTCATTTCTGTTGTAAAAATTTGCATTGCACTCCAAGTTCTGGAATTTGTTCTCACAGATGAGTGTCTGGATTTAACAGTAACAAACATACATTACAGTTACACATTGAATCCTTGCTAGTTTGACCATAATGCAACCTGGAGGCTGCTTTGTCACAAAAACAAACGCAAAAAAGTGTGTCATGGCTGTAACGCAAGTCAGAGATAGAACATTGGAACTATCACAGTTATGTGGTAGTAGAGATAACTGGGTTTGTAGAGAAAGAATTGTTTAATGTCAGTCTTGGATTTCCAAAAAAAGGGTTTTAAATCTTGCAAATTTACCATGTGCAACCCCTTTGGTATGGACAGGGCATATTAAAACTACCTACAAGTATAGTAAATAAGAAAAATCACCTTGCCAATTATGGGCTGTACAATAGTTGGATTTATCAGATTCACCAGAATATTGTCATTTCCAGAGATTGAGGTTTGAATTTCCCCCTCGAGAAGATCCAGGACAGTTTACATCTACATTTATATCATGAGTCACAAGGCTGACTTCAGCACATGCAGTTTTATGAATGCTGTTACCACACATTTGTAAGAAGCATTTCCCCTCACCTGGCTATTGGTTCTCAAGAATTCCTGAAGAGCATTAGGGTCACTATAAAGAGGAAAAAATTCAACGTCAAAATTGATTCCTTCGTGAACTAACACTTCCTCTTTTAACCATCTTTAACAGGCCTACCAGCATACAATCTAACATGTCAAATCTAATTTTAGAGACATGAAAAATTCTTCACTCACTTTATCACATCTAGAAGACATTTAGCAGAGCCAGCCTCCATTATTTCAAACGGATGGCAGCCCTACGAACTTCTGCTGCCGTTTTGGCACGAACTCCAGTGACCCTGTTGTCAAAATAGGACAAATTAGCCATAAAACACGGAAAATATTATCGAAATTAGTCAATTTTCCCCGAAAACAGGCAAATATAGAATTACAGGCATATAATTGGGGCTTCCGGGACGATATTCGTAAGGTTTCTCTCCAATTCCCGCTACTCCGAGAGGTCGTAAAATATTTCTTCGGCGAAAGGGGGGTAACCTACCCCCCTAAATATGAGGTACAGCCGGCGAGTTAGGCGTAAAAGTGCGAACTCTATCTCTGTGTTCGATCGAATGGCCTACCTGTGGTTGTTTGCATATGACTAAGTCCACGGGCCTTTCTCGTTACATGGACCCGAATTTCTGCGTGATGTCAACTAGTAGGAGACTGTACTGTGACTGGAAATGGTCGCTTCGGCCTCGGGCCGGGCAAATTTCCTGTTTTGGAGTGATTTTAGCTAAAATTTCACGACGGACATGCGACCGCGACTGGCATTTGTTCCAAGCAACAATATGTGGGGGGCTCCAGGGGCACGCACGTGATCAACAATATGATCAAAAGACTGGGTTCTACTTCCGGTAAATTTGGCGGGAAGTGACCACCGAACTGTGAAATGTCGTTAGTGCAATACTAAAATAATTCTATACCTTTCAAATTAAACAGATAGTTTAACTAAAGATTGGGTTCAATTTAAATGCAATTCTTGCTAATCAGTGTACATGCAAAGCGTTAGAGTCTGCGGTATAAAGTGCAAAAGTATGAAGCAAACTTACTTCGAGTGGGGAGGATAAGGAAGCATTCATTGTTTATGGGTGTGGGTGGGCTGGCAAGATTTTCAGTGTGACTAAACAAAGTATCCAGACCCTGCTCTATAAGAATTAAAAATTTCATGACCCCTTTAGCTGTAATTGCAAAAATAGCTACCCCCCCTCCCCCCTAGGACTATCAAAGCAGCTAGGTTAAAAGAAGAGAAAAATATCTTTCAAATATTTAATATTATTGCAAAAAAACCTTAACAATACAGTTCTAGAGTTTAAAATCTAGCGTTGATACAAAATGGGTAACATAATATAAGAGATATCCTATGGAACTGTGTCCAGCTTGGTATGGTACTGTGTATAGCTTGAAGAAGAATAGCTTTCCAGTGTATGCAAAGTTAGCTATTGTTCCATATATCTTGTATGGCGGGTGGTAGAAATGTTCTACAAACTTAAACCCACATTTGTAGATGATATGTAACAACAAAAAGCTTTTGACCCCCCCCTACATTATTCCCAAATTTTTCTAATGACCCCCCATTTTAGTTCCTGAATTTATCATGATCCGCCCCCCACTATTCTTGCAAGCCCTCCCCCTGCCATTAAATAATGAAGGCTCCCTAAAAGGAAGGAAATCATTTCTTCACGCACACGCTCAGCCCCATAATCCCTAGCACCATAGCCTTCCCGGGTTGGAAATCAACGGAACACTCGAAAAGAATGTACAACAATCCTCGCAAAGGTACAAGGGTTCTAAGTCGATTTGCAAGTGGACGTGGGATTGGAATCTTTGTGTCTTCGTTATCATGCATCCTGTTGAGTCCGGGACTTCTTGTGATCTAGCGAACAGGTCATATTTTTTATCTGTCTTTATTGCTAAGCCAAAGATAGCTAAGTTTAGACAAGTTAGAAACATATCTAAGTAAATAGGGAAAAAAAGTCGCTTTAGAGTCAAAGGACATACTGTCACATATGTATCTATGATAGTGTTTATTTTTTTGAATCAGCAAAACTAAACGAGGGCATATTCAGTGGGTGACCAGTCAAGTCGCCCGAGAGTCATCTCGCCCTAAGTCACGTCGCCCGAAACCTGAGTCACGTCGCCCGAAACCTGAGTCATGTTGCCCGAAATCATGGTCATGTCGCCCGAAAAAAAAAGGCAAGTCGCCCGAAGAAACGAACACTTTAAAGGTCAGACTTACAGACTATAAATAGGCAATAAAGTTAAGAAATCTCTATCGCCAAAGCCATCTTTGTTTCAAAAAACAAAATGAGACCTTGTTCGTTTGGTATGTTCTCGTTTCGTACTCAGTCTCCTTTCCTGTTTGAAGAATGCTTTGAGTAAGATTGTGGAAGTAGTCTATTTACTTCAACTCCATGATGCCTCCTGATGGCCAAAAATATTTTTCCTCTACTCTCTGTTATAAAAAAGCGCCGGTGCGAGAGGTGAACAACGGTTCAAATGATTTCATACTCCCACGACTACGCTAGCCAGCAGCGTCCTGGCCTTAAATAACAAAGTTTTTTTCTTCTGATTCTCTGCGTACAGGGGCGGATCCAGGATTTCAAAAGGGGGGGNCCCCCCCCTGTATCCGCCCCTGGCGTAGTTTCGTCATGTTTTTGTCCAGTGCGGAGGAAGAGTGACTAACAAAACTTCATAGGCTTCAGCAAGTTTTAAAGATGTCTAAATTATCTTCTTTAGCTGTAAAATTTGTAACCTGGTGAGATAAACATGTGACGTCCAAACGTTGTTGTCTTCCAGCCTCGTTCCCATAGTGTCTGTCGCGAATCACCGGCCCAGGAAACCAGGTTGTGCGTCTTTTCATCTTTGTAGTTAGTTTTTTCTTAGAATAGTACTGTCGGTGTTGTTGACAGGAAGTTCGTGCATCGATATGTTTGTTTCCGCTGTTGGGACTTCAGCAAACGCAGTTGTCTGTACATCAGGCGTAGAACTGCGATTTGAATCTTTGTTGTTTTTCTCGCTATTTGAGTTTTCTTCATCCTTTTCTACTGAATCGTCATAATTTCCCAATCTAGAGAAAGAAGAAAGCCAGGAAAAAAAGAGAAAACAAAATTGTTACTTCAAGGTCTTATGGGTAAACTGAAGTCTATTCATTTTTTTTTTTAAGTGCCATACGAAGCCTACAGCTAGACGAGAGAAATGGAAAAAAAACCACTAATCGTAACCATACGCTGTCATAAGGAAACCAAAAATGAAATTCACCAGTGACTAATCTCTACAATTAACTCCTCTTCGCAGCTTTTTGTCCGACACTGTCCGAATGGACCTTTCATTTTCATCACGCTTGAGATTCATTGTTCCCTAATTAACTTTCTTTTTTTTTAACGACTTTGATCAATTCCGAATTTTTTTACTAAAACAATTTACAGCTGTATCTGCATATTGGAACGCAGAGGAAACATTTTATACGGCCGTTTTTCTACAGTCATGTTTTTTTTTTTCTGGAATAAAGATACTAGCACCTTCAGAATGATTTTCTTTCCTGCAACAGTCGCTCGGTTTCAACGCGGAAAACCATGGACTTTTCCCCTCACGTTGCAAGTTTAAAGTTTTAAAGACACCGATGGAGGAAAGTGACGAGATGAAATATATGACCCAATCGAGAAGTGACATTCTCGCTTTTAGAGACGTTATATGATTATAACTGTGGAAACTAATTCTTAAGTCTAAATTTGGTTCAATTATCCTTGCGCGCCGAAGATTTTCACATCAACAATCCTTACCATAGTTAATCATCTCAAATAATTTTTTCTAGAAAAAAAAAATGCTAGTATTAAACATGTTCAGAAGATCGTTTCTTCATGCTTACCCTCGATCTAAGATGTGATTAATAGCGCTGGTCACAACAATCAAAACGAGTAAAGGTGCAGAAAGAAATGACATTTTCCACATTAATTTGAGCTGGAGGTGTGATGATGGCATAAAAGTATTTAAATCGAAGGGGTCGTCATGTACAAAAGGTTCACGATAATTATGCGACACCGGTTCGCCTTAAGCGGTTGGAACCTAATTGCAGAACAAAAGGGGACTTCTGCGATTCTTAAAAAAACAAAACAAAATTCGCCGTTTCCAGCGGAGAACCAGCTGCAGAATATTGTGAACTAGACTGCTGGCGCATCGAGACAACGAAGGCCGGAGGACAGGCCAGAGGACAAGCTGGAGATCAGCCGGAGCTGAGCATGTACTGTTAAAGTGGTCGAAAGCATGGCATGCGCAGTTTGTTTGACTGTCATGCGCCGATTTCACGTGCAACTTAGGCCCTGTTTACAAGCAAGTAGGGTAACCCTAGTGCTAGGGTTACCCTGGCAGGAGGGTTACCCTAACGTTCCCACATTTCTTCTTTTTTTTCATCGAAGTGTTTACAAGGCAGCTAGGGTTACCCTAGCACTAGGGTAACCTCAGCTGAGCGCTAGGGTTACCCGAGAGCCAGGGTAACCCTAGCTGCCTTGTAAACGCTCTGCTGGGGATAACTCGCCTACCCGGGACAACTTTTTACTTGTTTCCAGACCCTTTGAACATTGATAACAATGCGTGCGGTTACCAAGCATAGCTAAGTTGTCCCGGGTGGTAGGGTAACCCTACCTGTGAAATTTTGCTTGTAAACCCGGGCTATCTTTGACTAGCCTGCTAGGGTAACCCTAACACAAGGGTTACCGTTCCTTGCCTGTAAACAGGGCCTTATTATTGAAAAACTTGTAAAAATCAACGGGTCTCAAGTAAAATTTACTAAAAGGTAAGGTAAAAGGTTGAAACGTTCACAGAAAAACAAAAGTAGCAAATCAGAAGTTTTAGGACTTGTTGCATACAAAACGCGAGAAAATGATGGTTGTTTCCATGACAAAAAATCCCTAAACTATGTCAGACATTTGGCTTTTTTGAGGGGAAGAGGTGGGATTAGGAAGGAATTCTAGAGTTTCCGAGACAGAATAACTTGAAGCCGTCTGGCTAATGCACTGCTTAAAACATCAATAATAATCCTGATATTCGATGACGCTGTCACAACAAAGTAAAAAAAAAAAAAAAAGTCAAAATCGTCCCAAGAATTTAAGGTAAGAAACCAAAACGAATCGAAAAACGTAAAAAAAAAATTAGTACGAAAACTGAAATCACGTTTCGCAACCGCCTAGCTTATGCTCTTTACGATACCACTAGCAATTTTCAGGTTTGGAAAGTGGCGCGGGAGGGGGGTGTGGGGGGAGAGGGAAAAGGGTCGTCTTGTGAGATCTCAAGGAGGTGAAACAGAAACTTCCAGAAACAATCAAGTACGCATACTTACGCTTTTAGTATCGATATTTTGATGTATCTAGGTAGTTCTAGGCCTTCCCTGGTGACCTGTTTATATTACATCAGCTGTGTATTCCTTGACTGTC